CAGACAGACAGACAGACAGACAGACAGACAGACAGACAGACAGACACAGGCACACAGGCACACAGGCACACAGGCACACAGGCACACAGACACACAGACGCACAGACACGCACACACACAGACACACAGACACACAGACACACACACACACACACACACACACCCACGCACGCACGCACGCACGCCCGCCCGCCCGCCCGCGCCCCCCCCGCCCGCCCGCCCGCGCACGCACGCACGCACGCACGCACGCACGCACCCACGCACCCACGCACGCACGCACGCACGCACGCACGCACGCACGCACGCACGCACGCACGCCCACACACACACACAGAGAGACACAGACATATAGACATATAGACATATAGACATATAGACACACAAACACGCACACAAACAAGCAAAAAACAACACACATGCACATGCATCAGTGTAAGTCATGGGCGCTCGCATTTCGTTCAGGGTGGTGGCCGGCTTGTTGGTTCCACACCCGAGGCGTCGCGCTTGGCCTGCAAGCAAGCCGTGCAGGAGAGAATGGCACATGACTGGCACTTGCCATTTTGCGCCGCATGCACCCACCACCCAATTCCTTTTTTTGGCTCCCGCGGAGCCCTGATCAAGCCGCGACATTGAAGCCTTTGGTTCAGGAGGCGCTAGGCATTTGTGAAGGCAAATGACCTTTGGCTGGGTGTGCCAGCGTCTTCATTCGAATCAGCCAATGATTTGGGCACTCAAGAAGTGAAATGCGAGGAGACATCCGCAGGGCCGGCAATGACAGAGCTCCCAAAAACCAGGTGGGCGGAAATTTGAGGGTGCACCTTGTTTGGAGGATAGCCAGAAGGAAACCGAAGAGAAATGAGCTTGAAACTGCCAGTTTTGACAGCAAGCCGGGCGGTTGCCGCGAGGCCATTTCGAGCAAAGGAGCCTTGGCTGCAACGGTCAGGCTGGGCGCAGGCCAGTCTTTCAGCTCAGGAACTCAAGAGCCCAAGGCGCGGTGCTTCATGGTTGCAGCCACCGTGTGTGCTATATATGGTGCCAGCACTTGAGCCACTTGCTCAAAACCCGCGTAGATGAGGGTTAGTAAAGGAGAATCCCAACCAAGAATGAGCCTTCGCAGCCGATTTAATTCCTTACATGGTTCTGAGAAGGCCATTTTAATGCCAGGTTTTGAACACTCCCTGTTGAGCCGCATTCTGTGTTTCACCTTGTGCCGCCACTTCAACGGCTCCCGCTCCTTGCCAGGCACGAACAAGGTGGTTGGACCAGCGAGGACCGTGTCGCTGAAGTTGGCGCCTTGCATGGCAAAGCTCTGGATATCGTGGTCCGCGCTCTCAAGTGGGGCAAAGGGGTCAATGCCGTTCCAGGAGCACGCCCGGACCCAGCATGGCCCAAGGCGGCAATCTGACCGATGGTCGGCAATCTCACGACGTTCGCTGTCCAATCCATGATCCCTCAAAGGCCCTGATTGCTCATTTGGCGCCTCGCTTCAGCCTTTCCTCGAGTCGGTCCAGGTTTGGGTCCCATGGCAAGTTCCACAAGGGCAAGCCATATGACCATGTGCCACCACGGCCAGGCTCCTCCGGTCCAGCAGAGTGCCACGCCTCTTCAAGGACCGGAGTGACTTGATGGTGGTGATGGTATGCTTTGACTCGCAGGAGCTCCAAGCCATGGGCAGGCCAAGGCAGAGGGCGGTTGCAAATTCTGTGCCATTTCGTTGCAAACTATTGCAGGCAAATGCGCACAATGCGCCAACAAACAGCGTGCCAGGCTGGCGCAGTATGGTGAAGTGCTCTCTTGTGAGCGTGTGCTCGTTTGCCAGGATTGTTGTTGACTGGTGGCATTGTGCGGACTTCGCGGCAGATGCCGGCAATTATCAATGAGCTTCAAGTAGCTTAATGTCAGAATATGCGCATTGCTGTTTTTCTCAGTGCTGCCTCATCACGTGCCTCTTTGACAGTAGCTGCGTAGAGTATTGGCATGCTGGTGTCAACTCACGGCGATGCCTTCCGCAATCCTTGCAGGGGAGCAGGCAATCTTGGAAGCTGAAGCAGAGGCGTGGGCACCTTTTGGAAATGCAAGGCATCAACGGCAGAGAGCAGTGAAGCGTCGTGCGGCTGCAGGCGCCAAGTGTGCTCCGACGCCCAGGTGATGCTTTGGAAGGCAGGTTGCCCATTTTCTTGGCGTTGGACCTCTCAGCGCGCTAACAAGAAATCCATGGCTTTCGCAATTTGCACGGAAGTGGCTGTGACGCCCAGAATTTAGAGATTGCACAGACCCAATTGAAAAGGGAGGGGTATTTATGTTAGGTTTTTTTTTCGTTTGTTTTTTTCCGCTTTTGGCTTCTTGGCTTCTTGGCGTTTCGGCTTCTTGGCTTCTCGAGCAGCGTTTGGTGGCTTTTTGGCTTTTCGCATCCTCTGCATTCCCAGTTCCTCTTCGGCAGGTGGCGTTTTGGCTTTTGCGGCTTTTCGCTGGTTTATGCGGCTTTTGGCGGCTTTTGGCGGCTTTGGCTTTTCGCATCCTTTTGGTTTTTGCGCCCTTTCATTGGTTTTTGGATTTGGCTTCCCGCATCATCAGCATCACCACCACCCTATTTGAATCATCACTTCTTCGGACATCATGGGGGGGGGAACCCCCCGCCCAAACCACCCGCTGCTGTTTAGATTGTTTGCAGAGTAATTGCAACCCTATTTGAATCAACTCTTCTTCAAACATCATGGGGGGGATTGCCGCCTCCCCCCCCGTTACTTTTTAGATTTCTTGCAGAGATTGAATTGCAGCCCTGTTTGAATCATCACTTTTTCGAGCGTCCAATTTCGCGAGAAAATGCTGCAAAATACGACATTTTAGGCAATCTGTGTAATCCATGTATGTCTGTATGTATGCATTTCTTCGAACATCATAGCCGCTGCCTTTTAAATTCTATCGCACCCTTTCTTGAATCATTTCACCCCTACTTGAATCATCACTTCTTCCGCCATCATGGGGGGCGGCAGACCCAGCCCCCCCCCAAACCCCCCCGCTACGTTTTAGATTTTCTACAGAGATTCAATTGCACCCCTAGTTGAATTATCAATTCTTCGGACTGTTTGCAGAGATTTAATTGCACCCCTATTCGAATCATCACTTCTGCGACCATCATGGGGGGGGCTGCCGCCCCCCAACCCCCCCCCCCCCGCTTTTTTATCATTATTATTTTTCTGGGATTGAAATGCCCTCCTGTTTGAATCATGTTTTTTTGACCCCGTCAACCCGCCAGCTACTTTTTGGATTTTGTTACCCACAGTTTGTTGGTAATGCTAGGGATGTTGGTCGGACATGCGGGGGATGTTGAAAACGATGCTGGGGATGTTGACGGGCTAGTGTAAAATTTCGCAAGAACATGCTGTAAAATACGACATTTTACTGCCCCGGACGAAAAACGAAAAAAAAATCAAAAAAGAGCGAAAAACAATCCCAAAATAAATCCGCACCCATTGAAAAGTGCCCCCTGTCTTGCATTGTTGGGCTTGTGAAATGTGGACGTTCGACGGGGCTGGCGGTGTGGGGCATTTTCTTGGACATGGTCGGGCACTTGCAGGGTGGCGACCATGCTTTCTCAAAAAGGTGTGCGAAGCCACTTATACACTGGAAGATGCGTGAAATGGCAGAAACGCATTGTCCAGTCCGATTCCCGCGGCGGATTTTAAGACGAATTGTGCGGTCCGACATTCAGAGCTCAAAAACATTGTTGGCATGATGTTGGACGGCCCTTCCGATTCAAAAGACAAAGACGGGAAAAAGTGAGTTTCGCGACTTTGTTCGTGCTCGTCGGAGGTCGAAAAGCGCCCCTGCATCACAATTATTCGACGGCCCTTCTAATTTCCGCGGCAGATCTTGGCAGGATGCCAAGATGCTTGGCTCATGCTTCGCATCTTGGCAATATCTACTCGGTTCGGAAGTGGCAGTTTAAAATGGATATTGTACTTAAATGCGAATTGTCAGTTCCTGAGGCTAGCTCAAGTGTTTTTTGTTCTGATGTGTTTTCTGCTTACCTTCTTCTTATTCTTCTGATTATTTTCGTCTTCTTCTGATTGGTTTTCTTCTTCGTCGTCTCCGGTGTACCCGTGTGACGTACAGCGTGCAGACTCGTGGACAAGTGATTTCAGGTTGATTGTCAAGGGGTGGATGTGTGTAAATGCATGTAGCGCTGAAGATCAAATCTAAGGCGGCAGTTGCATGCCGCCTTTGCAATTGATATGCTGATCCGCAAATTCTGGCAGGATGGCCGGCCAAAGAGGCAGCTGAAGCCGAGGCGTGTGCTAAAGGAGGGTAAGCATCCAAGAAAATGGAAGCGGCAAAAGACTGCCAACATGGCAGGAAAGTATGCAGGAACCACATCTTCACAGAGCTCCAGAAGCCAAAGATGCTTTGCCAGGCGGCGTTTACTTTACTGAGGTTGAGCAACTGCTGTTCTGAAGATGTTTGGTGGCCGTTGGTGTCGCCACATGGCATAGTAACATACTTGGAGCTGCCATATCAAATTTGCCCAGTCACACATTGCCCTTTTCCATTGGACTCATGTGGGTGGCTAAAGATTACCTTTGAGCTTCCGATGAATTCAGCGCGAAAGTGAGTGATCCATGTTGCACGATGTGGACACGGAGGGAGCTTCGGGACTGGAGATCAAGTGGACAAGGGCTCCTCCGCAGGGCTATCAGCTGAAGGGCTGGCCAAAGAAGCAGAGGCGTGGAGGGCAAAGCTGGCGAGCGTCGAACGCTAAGATGGCAGGAACATGCTCACAGAGCAGCCAAAGATGCTTCGCCAGGCTCAAAGGGGCGCCGTGGCCCGGCATTTCTTGAGGGTTGCAACAGGGTGCCAAACTTTATATTCTGATTTGGCTGACTGTGCCAGCGGGCTTTTGTGGTTCTGTGTGGCGGTTGCGTTTTGGTCAAGCCACTGCATTTCGAGTTCTTGCTTCAGTTCCCTGCAGGCGCAGGGGCAGCTGAAGCAGAGGCGGGGTGGATGACTGCAAGCGGAGGCAGAGAAGGATCGTGTCAACTGGCACAGGCACGTGCTCGCAGAGAGCAGGCGGATGCTTTGCCAGGCGGATTTTTTTATGACTTGAGCATGCCCATGTCCTGAGTGTGCTTGGCAGGTGTGCCTTACGTCAGACCTAACTTTAGATCTACAGCCTTCTTGGTCATGGAATGTTGGGTCAGGGCTGGCTCTGCTTCTTGCAAAAATGGCCGTGCTTAGATTTATGCAAGCTGGCAGGCAGATAGGCTAGCACAAGAGCAAGCAAGCAAGCAAGCAAGCCGCCAGCAAGCAAGAGCAGCCAAGTCAGCAAGAAATCAAATCAAGCCCAACGCCACTCCGACACTGAGCAGCATTTACAGGCAAAACCTACCGTCTTCCGGCACTCCCTAAGAACCCTAGACCCTAAGCTCCTAAAACCCCAAAGGTCCCCTTACGCCACAAAGGATCCTAAACCGCAAAGACGTCCAACCCTAAAAGGCCCTGGACCTAAACCCCTAAACGCCCTAAACCTTAAAAGCGCTAAGATCTTGAACCCTAAAAACCAGACGACCCAAACCACAGACCAAAGCCGACAGAAACCCACCTTGAGGCAGCTTCAGTCAAAGAGCTGGTCACCCTCCACGAGCGTCACAAATCCAACCTTCTTTGGGCGCAGGGACGGGTGGGAAAACACGGAGCGCTTACCGCAAATTGAGCTGCTGACTCTTAGAATGATATGCAGGCGAAGGACGGCCAGCAAGAACAGCCGCTGAAGCAGAGGCATGTGGTAGATGAGTGCAAGCAGCCACACGGCAGTTGCACACCGCCATCCAAATTCCAGCATCAAAGACTTTTTTTGACCCGCCAGGCACCGCGTGTTCGCACGGCACCGCCTGCCAAAGATGTGGCCACAGGCTGGTTGGCAGGAGTATGTGTGGTAGGATTGTGTATGAGCATGTTTCAGGGGCCTAGATTCTGATCAGGGAGTTTGTGTTGAGCCATGGGCGGTACTGATTTTGATATTGGATTGCTGCCCGTGCAGCTGTTTGCAAAAACGCCGTAGTTGCAGTGTCTTTGCCGGAGATGGGCGCAGCGTTCTGACTGCCAATTGAGCTGCTGGCCGTTGAAATGTTATGCAGGCGGGCCGACAAGAACGGCAGCTGAAGCGGAGGCATGCGCTAGATGAGTGCAAGCAACCACGATGCGAGCGCACACCAGCATGAAACATCCAGCATCAAACAGTTTGTCGACTCGACAGGCACAGCGTGTTCGCAGACCATCGTCTGCCAAAGATGCAGCAACAGGCTGGTTGCCAGAAGTATGCGTGGTATGACTTCAGCATGTGTTTCACGTCAGTTCTAGTAGAAGCATGTTCCAGGGACCTAGATTCTGATCAGGGAGTTCGTGTTGAGCCATGACAAGTACAGTTTCTTGTGCAAAACACAGTAGTGGCGGTGCACGTGGAAATGTTATGGAGGCGGGCCAACAAGAGCGGCAGCTGAAGCAGAGGCATGCGCTAGATGACACACAATCATCGAAGTTGCATCATCATACATTTGTCGACGCGACAGGCTCTGAGTGTTCGCAGAGCACCGTCTGCCAAAGATGCCGCGACAGGCTGGTTGCCACAAGTATGCGTGGCACGACTATGTTTCGCACGTCAGTTCCAGTACATGCATGTTCCATGAGCCTAGATGGTGTCTTGGTGGGAGATGGGCGCAGTGCGCTGACTGCCAATTGAGTTGCTGCCTGTTGAAATGCTACGGAGGCAGGCCAACAAGAACGGCAGCTGAAGCAGAGGCATCCGCCAGATGAGTGCAAGTAGCCACAATGCGAGCACACACCAGCATCAAACACAATGCTGTGACGACAGGCACCGCGTGTTCGCAGAGCACCGTCTGCCACAGATGCAGCGACAGGCTGGTTGCAAATGCATGAATGGCAAGGTCGATTCGGTCGATTAGGGGTGTTTATTTCGGTCCGCTCTTTTGTGCTGAGCAATTATACAGTAGTGGTGTTTGGTTTGCATTGCTTTATTTTGCAGCTCTTTGCAAAAGAGTCTCACCTTTGAAATGTTGCGCAGGCGGGCCAACAAGAGTGGCAGCTGAAGCAGAGGCGTGCGCTAGATGACACACAATCATCGAGGTTGCAGCATCATACATTTGTCGACGCGACAGGCTCTGAGTGTTCGCAGAGCACCGTCTGCCAAAGATGCCGCGACAGGCTGGTTGCCACAAGTGTGCGTGGCACGACCATGTTTCGCACGTCAGTTCCAGTACATGCATGCTCCATGAGCCTAGATGGTGTCTTGGTGGGAGATGGGCGCAGTGCGCTGACTGCCAATTGAGTTGCTGCCTGTTGAAATGCTACGGAGGCAGGCCAACAAGAACGGCAGCTGAAGCAGAGGCATCCGCAAGATGAGTGCAAGTAGCCACAATGCGAGCACACACCAGCATCAAGCACAATGCTGTGACGACAGGCACCGCGTATTCGCAGAGCACCGTCTGCCACAGATGCAGCGACAGGCTGGTTGCAAATTCATGAATGGCAAGGTCAATTCGGTCGATTAGGGGTGTTTATTTCGGTCCGCTCTTTTGTGCTGAAAAATTATACAGTAGTGGTGTTTGGTTTGCATTGCTTTATTTTGCAGCTCTTTGCAAAAGAGTCTCACCTTTGAAATGGAGCGCAGGCGGGCCAGCAACAGTGGCAGCTGAAGCAGAGGCATACGCTACATGACACACAATCATCGAGGTTTCAGCATCATACATTTGTCGACGCGACAGGCTCTGAGTGTTCGCAGAGCACCGTCTGCCAAAGATGCCGCGACAGGCTGGTTGCCACAAGTATGCGTGGCACGACCATGTTTCGCACGCCAGTTCCAGTACTGAGCCTAGATGGTGTCTTGGTGGGAGATGGGCGCAGTGCGCTGACTGCCAATTGAGTTGCTGCCCGTTGAAATGCTATGGAGGCAGGCCAACAAGAACGGCAGCTGAAGCAGAGGCATCCGCAAGATGAGTGCAAGTAGCCACAATGCGAGCACACACCAGCATCAAGCACAATGCTGTGACGACAGGCACCGCGTGTTCGCAGAGCACCGTCTGCCACAGATGCAGCGACAGGCTGGTTGCAAATGTATGAATGGCAAGGTCGATTAGGTCGATTAGGGGTGTTTATTTCGGTCCGCTCTTTTGTGCTGAAAAATTATACAGTAGTGGTGTTTGGTTTGCATTGCTTTATTTTGCAGCTCTTTGCAAAAGAGTCTCACCTTTGAAATGTTGCGCAGGCGGGCCAGCAAGAGTGGCAGCTGAAGCAGAGGCGTGCGCTAGATGACACACAATCATCGAGGTTGCAGCATCATACATTTGTCGACGCGACAGGCTCTGAGTGTTCGCAGAGCACCGTCTGCCAAAGATGCCGCGACAGGCTGGTTGCCACAAGTGTGCGTGGCACGACCATGTTTCGCACGCCAGTTCCAGCACATGCATGCTCCATGAGCCTAGATGGTGTCTTGGTGGGAGATGGGCGCAGTGCGCTGACTGCCAATTGAGTTGCTGCCTGTTGAAATGCTACGGAGGCAGGCCAACAAGAACGGCAGCTGAAGCAGAGGCATCCGCAAGATGAGTGCAAGTAGCCACAATGCGAGCACACACCAGCATCAAGCACAATGCTGTGACGACAGGCACCGCGTATTCGCAGAGCACCGTCTGCCACAGATGCAGCGACAGGCTGGTTGCAAATGTATGAATGGCAAGGTCGATTAGGTCGATTAGGGGTGTTTATTTCGGTCCGCTCTTTTGTGCTGAAAAATTATACAGCAGTGGTGTTTGGTTTGCATTGCTTTATTTTGCAGCTCTTTGCAAAAGAGTCTCACCTTCGAAATGGTGCGCAGGCGGGCCAGCAAGAGTGGCAGCTGAAGCAGAGGCGTGCGCTAGATGAGTGCAAAGGCGGCAAGCAAATATCAGCATCCAACATGGAATGCATTCTTAGTAAGTTGATATACGTTGATTCTGAGGGAGTCTGTTATATTTTCCTCACCTTGGAGAGTTTTGGTTGGGAATTCTGCAAGCTGACCTCAAAGAGGCTTTGCTTGAGGATTTGCGGGGTGCGGGGAGTGGCAAGATTGCCCTGTCCAGGCTGCACGGTTTTGCTACCACACACTGCCCAGACGCATGCTTTGCGGCTCCCACCTGCTGCGGTGTCATCTTGCTCAATGCTTTGCCATCTGCTTGGATGTCCATTTCAACATTCCGGTTCACAAGCGTCGGGAGTCGGGGGTGGGGGGGATACCTTCTTGTACGAAGAGGGCTTGTCTAGAGCAGGCTGGTGAAAAGTCGGCGCTGGCACTTCCGGGCACTTCTGTCAAACTGTGCCAGCTGTCGATCCGTCTTCTCAGTTTGTAGTGCATAGTCCACCGCGAGACCCCACTCTCAGAAGCAGATTTCAAAACACCAGTTCGGGGACCCTACCCCTTCCTCTGACGGGCAGTAGTACACAAACACAATTGCTCACATTGCAGGAACCACGTGCTCGCAGAGCACTTGATGCCAAAGATTCTATGCCAGGCGGGTTGCCAAATGTGTGAGTAGGATGACAAGGCTCGCATAGCGGTTTGCAACAAGAACAAGCGCTCCACAGATCTAGCTGTGTGTGTGTGTGCGTGTGTGCGGGTGCGTGTGTGCGGGTGTGCGGGTGTGTGCTTTTGTGCGTGTGCGTGTGCGCGTTTGGTTGGTGGTTGTGTTTCTGTTTGTGCTATTGTGCCTGTTCTTTGTGATTGTTCAATTGTTTGCGCACTCACGTGCACGGTTGCGCATTGTATGTGTGTATATTCGGCGTGCCCATGTTGGTGTGTTGTTATTATTTTCTGCGCTTGCCTCTGCTTTTTTCTTCTTTTTTTATGTCGCTCTGCGTGCCTTTCAGTCTCTATGTCTCTTCGTGCCTCTTTGTGTTTCCGTACTTGTCTTTGTGTCTTTCCTTAATTGTGGCTGCAGAACATGGTCTCTCAAGCATTTCTCAAGCAGCCTGGACATTCGTCTGGGACTTCTGGTGCTTGGTAAGCACGCCCTACCTGTCGAATCAGTCCGGTGTTTGATGCTGCTGGTCTACTCTTCGCAAGTTGCGCCATACCTCTGCTTCAGCTTCTGTTCCTGGCTCCCCGCTATGCTGCAACTGGATTTGACGGCTGCTTGCAGTCACCACGCTTCAACAATCAAATCAAAATATTGACACAGAGAGAGGCACAGAAAGAGAGAGAGAGAGAGAGAAAACGACAGAAACAAACAGCATACGCCCACCACGCAGCCTTTGTAGCTGTGTCATATGTGCTATGGTGTCACTCGGGTTGGTGGAAAAAAGCGCAGTTGTTGGTCGGATTCTATGTCGCAAAAAAGGTCAGCACAACTAGGAGGTTTGCCTGGGTATGCTGCCCATCGCTCAATGTCTGGGCTCGGGCATGCGCTGACTGTAAGAGGCCGTGCTGGACACCACGGCATAGAAGAGGCAAGCGCTTGCGACAGGTTGGCGGGTCTGAGTCCAGCTTGCCCGACGGCAGGCACCACTCGCGCGCATGCCAAGAGCCGCGGATGCTTTGCCAGGCAGTGGCTCCCGCGCATTGATTTCCCGTTTGTTCACGCGAAGTCAACACGAGATACCTGTTACCAGCACGTTTTACTATCTGGGATAGACAGACGCATTTGCAGAACCACAAGCATCGTATTCACACAGCATTTGCACGTACATGCGTTGCTGTACGAAGAAGTGCTGACGTTTTGCTGCGCGTTCATTGCAACCGCAGATGCGGTATTTGCAGGAGGGCAGGCAAGCCCAGCAGATGATGTGGAGGCATGCTTCCGTGTAGGCAAGCAACAGTGGGACTTGCTTAGACGCTGCGAAGGCACAGCTGACACCACGCTCGCGTACATCATCAAAAGACCAAGGTGCTCAACCAGGCACTATTATGCCCGAAGTATGTGTGCAGGAGGCCCTGTGTTTGGGGGCCTGGTGTTAAGTAAGTTTCCCGGCTCATCCGTAGCCAACCCTTTCTCCAACCTGAACCCGTCAACCATTGAACCCACCCTAAATCCTAAACCAAAAATCAGATCCCAAACAATGAAACCAACCCAATACCCGCCCAAATTCACCGTCAACCAAATCTAACCTTGCCCCAAACTAGCTCTATACCCATGATAGATCCATCCCACCCCAAGCCAATCCTGCATAGTAGAATTTCGCAAAATCCTGCACAGCCACCTGGAAGCACCAACACCTTCTGAGCGGCGCACACGCCGAGCAGATGATCAACGCCTGAAGCCCTGCTCGCGATCGAGGCCAGGCGCTGCAACACTCGCCCATGGCCTGCGGCGGTCTATGTCACCTGAGCCCTGAAACTCAATGGGGACCAGAACCTGCGCAGCACCTTCACCTGAAACAGAATCCTCTGTCAGTACTCAAGTCTGAATCTTGCCACGTCCCCCTCTAGATCAGAAGTAAACACCCTCAACACCCTATAGCCAAAAGCATTCAGCGATCTGCGGAAAAACCATGGGAATCACACCATTCCTTCCTGCCACAGGGAAACCTTGGGAACGAAGCCACTCCAAAATAAAACATGCACCTATTATTAATTGTCGCGCGGCGCAATGCCCTCACGACATCCTTGCAAACGTAGGCGCTCATCTTGGCAGGCTGTGAAGAAGCCAAGGCAAACGAGGCAGCTGATGCAGAGGGGAGCTGCCGTCAATACAAGTTGCTGTCAGAACATTGTGGCGACATGGCAGGCATCGGGCATGCGCGCATGGCCCGCAGCCACCAATGCCATGCCAGGCAGGTTGCCAAATGAACATTTCATTCAAGAATGACAAGCAAGATCAATGTAACTAAACCTGCCCAGATGGGCGCCTATGAAAGACACTGACTTCGCTTGGTTCAGCCCGCGAACAGCAGTGCCCTTGATCAGGACCTGAAGCACCACAAGCTACTCTCCGGCGCGCAAGCCGCTGGCCTGAGCGTGCTTTTCGAAGGGTACTAGAAGGGCACTCAAACTACCAAGCTCTCATAGGTAGGTGGTGGCTTAGTCCGTTGCGCCGAAAGTGCAAACAGCACGGCGCAAATTCGAAAAGTGTTTAGCTCGTACATTGTTGCGCGCCCATGCAATGGGTGTCAGGTGCTGAAGGCGTAGACAGACGCATCCAAGTGCCCACTGTGCAGGCACGCCTGCATTCGGCAGCATGCAAGGGGTGTTGTGCCGCTTCCCTATTTGAATTTTAAGCTTTCAATTGTTAATTGTGTTATGTGTTTCTTCATTTTTATTATGATTTGGTAATATTTGATTTGTAATAATATGTTATATGGGGACAATGTTTCCAATGCTTTGGCTCAAGAATCTCGGCTCATGAGCCTTAGGCCTGTCACCACAGGTGTGACGGCAGGATCCAGCGTAGCCCTTGCCCTGAAACTTCTTGGGTGGGCAGAGCAATATCCGCTGCCTCCTTTCTTCGACCCTGCATCATCCAGCACTGGTCAGGTGGTGGAACCCTGGAGCTTTCTGCTTGGCCTGATCTGCGGGCTCCTGATCTACACCATCCTTGAGTGGTTTTTCACGTTGCGCTGGTGCATTGTGACTTGGTTTCAACACCACTTCGGGGCTACATCAGTTTCTGGTTCGCGAAAGGAGCTGTACAAGCTCCTTTGATGAGTGACCGGATCACTACCTTGGAAGACGAGGTAGCGGATCTCCGAGAAGAAGTGCAACGGCTGGCTCTCAGCGTCTCTGGCCTCAAGCGTCAGCTGCGTGAGGTGCTTCGTGGCCCTTCTGGGTCTCAAGCGGCAAGTGTGCGTGGTGGGGAGTCTGATCGGTCTGTGGATTCTTTCTCGCTGGTCAGTCGTGCAGACGCAACGGGAGCTTCTACAGCTGCTTTGCGTCATTCTGGCACTGCTGACAGCAGTGAATCTGGATTGCAAGTGCGCGGAGGTGCTCCCGGCTCTTCTGGCTCATTGACTTGGCCTGAGCGCGAGGCAATTGCTGAAGAGATTGGTGGTTGGATCAATAGGTGCTTGGAGGGTCGTCATCGTGGGTTGAGTGGGCGTGAGAAGAACCATCTCGGCTCCAGGATCTACGTGGTGGTGCGTGACTATCCAGGTTCGATTTACTCTCCGGTCAAGGTCTTCAAGTCCTTCACCCCTTGCAAGAACCTGTGCACGCGCAACGGCGAGTCCGGGAACGCAATCTACGTGGGCTTCCCTTCGGAGCGTGAGGCGCGACGGGCGGTGGCTGCAGCTGGACTGATTTGGCCCGGCTTCGTTGAGCAATGAGCGGCGAGGACGACGACACTGCCACTGGCATTTCCTATTTGCTGGTGGAAGGTTTGCTGAATTCAGACTTTGAAGTGCTTTTGTTCACCAGCCATTTGTCTTCTGGTGACATCAAGTTTCAATTGATTGCTATTTCGGAATTTGAAAGCCGACCTTTGGTTGCTGTGCCCCACTCAGTATGGCATCGCAATGTGAATCGCCGGCTACTTGTTTCAGGAGCCCTGAAGAAGGTGACCCAAGTCGAAGTACTGGTAGCCGACTCAGACTCCCCTATGACACAGATAGAAGGCATGAAGATGAAGTTGTGGGTCGGTTTTCTCGAGCCGACTCTTCTAGCGGATGTGGAGGTGTTTTCAGATGGAGCTCAGTGCGATTACTTTTTCATGCAGCAAGGGGAGAAACTTTACATCCCTCTTGCCGCCTCTCTGATTGCCGCAGCCAACGACCATTTTGCATTCTTCTCTGCGCAGGAGGAAGAGGAGGAAGCGTACGATCCCATCGACCCAGACGATCAGCCTCTGGTGGGTGTGGACGGGCGACCTCTGAGTGCCGGCGGGCCTGGATCTGCGGACCTCGAGACGAGGATGGGACATGTGGAGTCAGTGTTGGATGGCCTGCAGTCGAGCATGCAGCAGCTCCTGCAGATGCAGCGTTCCAAAGCCCATCAGACACCGACCAAGACGAAGCCGGCGCCCATGCCAACAAAGCTGAAGGCCAAACCTTCTTCGTCGTCAGGAGCTGCGTTGAAGACGATGGATTTTCCTCACCTCGATCCAGGAGTTGTTCAAGCTGCTCTGCAGGCCGGCGTGTCTCACGAGAGCTTGGGCCAGATGGAGAGGGTGGTCTTGCAGAATGCGCGAGCAAGGAAGACAGCAGATGTGCATGCGAACATCGTTCTGGACCCTCTGTCCGAGGACGGAGGTTCGGCCACGGAGCAGGAGATGGAGGAAGCCCCTGTCGGAGGATCTGGGTCTCAAGTTCAAGACCCATTAGCTTCATCCCTTGCCAAGCTGACCAACATCATGGAGCTGCTGACCGAGGAGAAGCAGAAGAAGACAACTGGGTCAAAGCTAGATTCTGCCCTCGACGCTGTGCAAGCGACAGGGTCAGATGTTACAAGCTTGGGCTCAGGCAAGAAGACAGCTGTGGCAAGGCGGGCGTTGCGAAGCGCTTTCCAAGAGCATCCGGAGGAAGTGCATCTGCTGATCGAAAGACTGATGTTCGAGGACCTGAACTCGCAGACCCTGCCGCCAGGCTGCCAACCCCGAGGTCTGAGCGCACGGGCGTGGGTCGAATTTCGTTCTCGAATTGGGTCCTACAAATCCTCGGCTTACTCCTCGTGGTGCATTGCGGGCATTCTGGATTCTCTGTTGGCCAACAATGTACCTCAGGCCAGAGCCCGTGCCTGTTTGGGTCTGCTGCAGATCGACCAGGCGTCAGTAGATCGAGGTTCGTGGACGCTAGCTGCAGAGCTCAGTCTCGAGCAAGGGCCTCCACTCACAGCAATGTCCCAACATGTGCCCCCCGATGTGATGCAGGGAGATTCGCCATTTTCAAAGCTGCTGGATGCACGGTGGGCAGAAGTGTCGATATCCCACCTTCGCGACCAGGACGAATACCTGACAAAGCGAAGGAATATTGGCAGGAGCACTGGAAAGCCTGCAGAGGAGAGCGGCAGCCTGAGCCCAGACGCCAAGAAAAAGAGCCGCCCCGGAGCCAAACCGAAGGCGGCCACGACTGCGGAGAAGAGTTCAGATGCATGACGGCTCGTGATGAGCCTTTGCCTGCTGATGGTGATCGCTGCACCAAGCCGGGGCCTCTGCCTAAGCTGCCCGGGTCTGATGCCGCCACCGTCAATGTTCCGGGTTTTTTGAATTCGCTGCCCAGGTTGCTGTTAAAGTCCAAATGCGGCCTACAGGGTTTTTTGCTTTCCATCGTGCAGTCCCACCAGGTTAATGATGCCTGTACGTCAATGGCTGGTGTGGTCTGGCCTTGTCCGGTGCCTTACCCGGAGGTTTTCCGGGCGGGTGCGGCGCAGCGGGTTGAGAGCGCACATTTCAAGCGCCTTTGTTGCCTTCAGATTATTGTACTTGATTGGTATTTTCTGGGGTGTCCTGCGGCTGCTCCTGCGTCACTGCGACTTGGTGCCAGGCTCAATGCAAAACAGTGGTCAGTCGTCCGGATGATCGAACACCTTGCCGTTGATCGAAACTTTCCAATTAGTGTTGAGGCGGTTGACATGGGCCGGGCCGCCACGAAGATTGAGGACTTTCAGAAGTGTATGGACGTCCTGGGCCGTGCCACTGCCGACTTGCACAATTTTGAAGGTATGTACGCCCCTTTGAAGCCTAGCAAGACTTGTGTTTTTGAGCACCGTGAGCTACGTTGTGGATCGATTGCTGGGAGGTCAGATCATGACCCTGTCGTCACGGCCAAGCCTTTGTTTGCAGACAGGCTGCACTTTCCTGGCCCTCCACGCTTTGACCCCCGGAAGTTCTTTGATGACTGCACCCTTGAGCGGTACGACAGACCCATTTCCACTGGCCTGTCTCCTGATGATGTTGATGAAATTCCTCCAAAAGTGTCTGTGCGAGCCACGCAGCGGAACAAGCTCGACTTGTACCGCAAACTGGCACTTTCCGGCCGCCTTCAGCCCATCCGGACTGGGACCTTCTATGATGGTTACACTTCTGGTCTCTTCGCAGTTGGCAAGGATCAGCTGAGGGATAGGATGGTGCTGGATGGCAGGCCTGCCAATATTTTGGACGTCGGGCAGCGCAAGTGGTGCCTTGGCATGGCCTCCGCATCATCTCTCTGCGGCCTTTATCTCCAAGCTGGTTGCGACCTTTGCGTCAGTGGCGAGGACCTACGTGATTTTTTCTATCAGTTCCGTGTGAACGATGAACGCATTTCACGCAACACCCTGTGCTCGCCACTGACTTTGGCTGAAGCCAAATATGTGTTTGGAGAGCACTTCAGCTGGCCCGATGATGTCGTTGAGGTTGGGCTTTCCACGCTGGCCATGGGCGATTGTTGCGCTGTAGAGTTTGCGCAATGTTCGCACTTGGCGATGTGCTTGCAGTTCGGGGTCGCTGCCGTGGGTGAATTGCTTTCCCTTCGAGGTTCTGTACCGCGGGGCTTGCTACAAGTGGGGATCATTGTGGACGATTTGATCGTCCTCGAACAGATCCTGAAGACGCAGCGGAACTCCAAGGTCGCTACAAAAGCTGATGCTAGGATGGCGGCCGCGAGAAATGCTTACACCTCTGTTGGCCTTGAATCGAACCCGAAGAAAGCCTTCGCCAATGAGGACAAGTGTCGTTTTTGGGGCCTTGAAATTGACGGAGTTGCTGGACTTCTTCGACCGTCTTCGCTACGCCTCTGGCCTATTTGCTTGGTGACTATGCGGGTGGTGACTTTGGGCCTTTGCACCGTCAGCCTGATCGAGGCTCTTGCAGGAAGTTGGGTTTCATTGCTGGGACTACGGAGGAAGCTCTTTTGCATCCTTGATCTTATTTTTGAACCCCTTGGCATTGCCGACCAGAAGGCGATCATACGGCTTTCCCCAGAGCTGTTATCCGAACTTGGGTCGTTGGTGGTCTTGGCTACGTTGAGTTGTGTTAACCTTCGGGCAGACTTCCTTGAGCAGGTCGTTGCTACGGACGCCTCAGAAGGCTGGATGGCTGGTGTATCGGCTTTTTGCCCTCGAAACATCGTTGCTGAGGCGTCTCGCTTTTCTCTGCGAAAAGGTGTCTGGACCAAGCTGTTATCTCCGATCCGGGCTTGGCAGCGTGGGCATGGTCTCCTTCAACCTGACCATGAGCTGCCGGATGATGAGGTGGTCTACCAAACACACCCTCTCTGGATTCTGCTTGCGAGATGCATTCAGTACAAGACCGATTGGAGGTGTGAAGTCCGTCGCAAAACCCATATTAACATCCTGGAGCTTCGAGCGCACCTAAAGCAGGAACGTCGGCTCGCCTCGAAGTACAAGAGTGTTAGGGCATTGCACGGCATTGACTCACAGGTTTGCTTGGGGGCGGTCATCAAAGGCCGCTCTGCTTCTTCATCCTTGAATGCGGAGATGAAGAGATCGGTTGCTCCTGCTATTGGCTCTGACATCTATGGTATGTATATGTATTTTCCCTCGTCCTGGAATCCTGCTGATGGACCCACAAGGGATGCTGACACACCGGATGTATCTGCCCCACTCCCGGAATGGTGGAATGATGTGATCGAACAGCGGTTTGATTCTTTTGATGCGTGGCTTGAGGATCATGGTGCTCACAGTTTTCTTGCTGGCATTGATTTTGCCGAATTGTACAGTTGCGATGCGGTTGACTTAAGACCCAACAGTGTGATACGACGCAAGCGTGGCAACAGATTGCGGGCTCGTGCGAGAAGGGTGAATGCTGAAGAGGATGCCGATGGTGTGCGCCTCGATCATCAGGAGATGACTGAAGTTGAGATGCTGCTGCGGACGTTCAAGAAGAGCCAGTTCTTTTACACCGGCAATTGTCCTGACTTTTCACTTCCTGGTGGGCTTGATCTCTTCAGCGGAAGGTGCGGCGTCGCCAAAGCTATGATTGAGCTGGGCTGCCCGTGGGTGCTGACATTCGACTACGCGAGGTCTGCTAATGAGGACTTGCTGCAATGTGAGCTTCGTTCAAAGATTGAGAAGTTGATTTCCTTAGGTGCCTTCCTCACCCTTGGTGCAGCTCCTATTTGTTCGAGCTTCAGCGTTGCAATCACACCGCCGGTGCGAAGCCACCAGTACCCTCGTGGAATCCCGGGGCTACGTCGCTCGATGCGTCAGAGGGTCAAAGAGGGCAACAGCCATTCAGACTGGATGCGACACCTTGTGAGCCTTGTTGAATCTGTCGGTATGACTTGGTGGGTCGAAAACCCAGATTTGTCATGGTGGTGGCGTCAGAGATCTTGGCGACAGTTCAGGAACTCACATGGGCCAAAGCTGTTCCGTCTATGTTTCTGCCGGTTTGGAACGAAGTGGCGAAAAGCCACTAGAATTGCAACCAACGGGCCTTTGAGTGGAGTGACTATGTGGTGCCAGTGCACCAGACCCCACCTGCAGTTGCGTGGCATGTGTGCAGCAAAGAGGATCCCGTGGACGCTTGTAGCTCAGCCCTACCCGCGAGGCCTTTGCAGGATGTTGGCAGCATCTCTTTGCACTTCAGCTGGATGGGTCGGGAAGAGCAAGTTGAACGTTGCTCGCTGCAGCCGATGTGACACACTGCGTGTTGGTGAGGCCCAAAATCCCGGGCCACGTGGACGGAAGCAACAGCATGCCTTTTCCCTTGAGGAGGTGCAGACCTTGAGCGCGGCCACTCTTGCAATCCAAGCTCGCGAATTGGGAGCCTTCTTCAGCTGGTGCCGCCTGCGCTCTGGGAACACAAACTTTGAGAGTCTTTTCCACCTGGTTCCTGCTTTTTTGCCAACCTGTCTCCGAGCATATGGTGATTACAGCTTCCAGCGTGGTGGCTCCTTGTTTAATTTTAGGCACCTGCTGTTGGCAGCGCAGAGGTGGTGTTCGGCTTCACGCCCTTGTATGCAATCTGCTTGGGAGCTGGTTGAACGATGGGAGGTGCAATATCCAGTGACGCATCGCGCTCCTGTTCCGGAGGTCCTGGTAAAGGCTATGTGCTGCCTAGCCTGGCAGCGAAAGTGGTTTTCCTGGGTTGGTATTACACTGATTGCATTTTATGGCGCTGGCCGACTTGGTGAAGTGATTTCCTGCCTTAGACAGGATCTGGTCCTCCCCTGCGACCTCTGTGATTTGTCTGGTGCAGTTTTCCTTCGACTGCGAAGGTTTAAAAGCCTACACCGCCAACCTGCAAAAGTGCAACATATGAAGATTAGTGACCAGGTTGCTGTGAAGCTTTTGACCATTATCTTCAACAAGCTCCCTATGGATGACCGGCTTTTCCCGGCCTCTCATTATCAGTACCGAATGCGCTGGAACCTACTTTTGGCCGATTTGGGCATTCCTGCTGAGCGTAAGCTGACGCCAGGCGGATTGAGAGGAGGAAGCGCCGTTTTCCATTACAGAGCTGGCAAACCCGTTGCTGATTTGCTTTGGCTGATGAGGCTTCGGTCGCAGACAACACTTGAAAGCTATTTGCAGGAAGTCGCTGCCTTGAATATACTTGGGTCTTTGTCTTCTGATTCGCGTTCCTCGATCATGGCTTTTGCTGCTACCTTCCCCTTGCTGGTTTTTGCTGTATTTCCAGGGTCTTGACAAACGCAACGCCTTTGTCTGCACTCGTCCTTCGTGACCTGGACCGTGGCTCCTAAAGTTGGAAGGGAACTTTTCCTTGCATGGTTGGCTGGTCAATCCTTTGATGACTGCAGTGATTTTCTTTTGGTGATGCCACATCTCTGGTGCTGGCTTGGGATTCACTATTTTCACTGCGGTGCTCCTGATTGACTTTCCTCGACCTGTGTGGTCGGTGTGCCCAAATCCTGACTTGGAGCGATGGAGAAAATGCGGTGATCGCTCAGCTATTTTTATGTTGCCACCTGCAATGGAGTTGTAAACATGGGGACAATGTTTCCAATGCAATGGGTGGTAGAATCTCGGCCCCACCCAGCCCGCCCGGGGCAAGCCCCCCGGAACTTTTCCTTGCATGGTTGGCTGGTCAATCCTTTGATGACTGCAGTGATTTTCTTTTGGTGATGCCACATCTCTGGTGCTGGCTTGGGATTCACTATTTTCACTGCGGTGCTCCTGATTGACTTTCCTCGACCTGTGTGGTCGGTGTGCCCAAATCCTGACTTGGAGCGATGGAGAAAATGCGGTGATCGCTCAGCTATTTTTATGTTGCCACCTGCAATGGAGTTGTAAACATGTTTATATTATTTACCGACATTAGTTAATTTATTTAATGAATCATTACTATTAATATGGTTGTTGATAAATGAATAGTTGCTTTTCCTTTTAATATTATTTGTAATATTAATTATTAACCCACCTGCCGTGCCTCGATCAGACTCGCAGGGGATGGAGCGAGGCGGGCGTCTCGAGTCTCAAGTTGGGGTAGGTGAAGCGTTTGTTGGGCCGATTTTTTTTTGTGTTTTGTTTTGTTTTTCCGTTGTTGTTTTTTTTGTTTTGTTTTTTTGTTCTCTGGACCAAAGGGTGACTTGTTCAGGCAGGATGCGAAACATGGGCAAACATGGCTAGGAGCGTTTTTGGAAGGTTACAGGTTGTTGTTGGTGAATGGAAAGTGTCACTTCAGGATGCCCGCTGCCAAAAAGTGTTTGACAACCTAACAAGACTTGACATGTTTGCATCATCCTTTTGACGTAACCCTGGTTCTGTGCAGCTGGGGGCCTTTCTGCCTGTCGGCTGATGTTGGTGAGGCTCATGGGTTCACGAGGGTCCAAGGAATCGCATCAGGAAGGGGGTTCATGTGGGGCATGCGTCGACATGTGTGTGTTTTCCCCGAAAGGAACGACGTTTTTGAATTTTGCCAGCTTCAAGGCTCGAGGCTGCTGGGGTGTTGAGCCGTTTCTGAGGCCCAGACGCTGCGAAGCAGGAGCCGCTCGCAAAGAAGGCACAGACAAGGGAGAACATGCACGCAAACAATGCGCAAGCCAAGCAAGTCGCTGCGATACAGGCTGAAGTCAGCCAACGAGGCTGGGGTCACCCAAAAAGAGACTTCTTTGCTTCAACTTTTGAGCTGTTCCAGGACTTCCCCAGAACTTATTTGTTTTGTAATTCGGGTTGCCTTTGTTAGCTCCCATAGTTGTCGCGGATTGGCTGCCAGGGCCCTCTCTGAGAAGCAACTCCACATCGTCACGGCAAGGCAGCACGCGAAAAGCGAATCAAGGTGCGAGCATCGGGTTCTAAAATTCAATCGTTCGAACTCCGCTGCTCATGCTATGCAGGGTGAAGTCCATGGGCGATTGTGAGGTCACAGTGGAAAAAGGGGGTCTCAAGGGTACGTTCGTCATGTTTTAAGGACGCCATTTTATCTTGCTTGTTGCATGCCCTCATATTTTTTTGGAGGAAGGTCAGGCCTACACCCGTCATTTCGTAAGGACCAATTCCGTTGTGCACCGTCTTGCTGGGTCCCGCTGAAATTCAGGACGGTAAATGAGCCATGCAGTTTTGTTTGTCTTTTCAAGGCACTACAAAATCATGAGCTCATGCACGTGTGGCTCGCTTTGAAAAAACGTCAAGGCTCCCCGTTCCAAAAGTGGCAGGGTTCAACCAACACGCCTGCTATTGCACGATGACAATATGCTAAGCTAAGCCGTTCCATGAAAGAGCATCCGCCAAATTCCAGGCAGGCCACATCATTTTGGAGCTCATTTGGCGGGGTCTCAACTGCGCAGAGATCCCCATTCTGAAGTTAAGGATGCTCTTCCAGAATCCCTGCCATTTTGCAGCCCTGGCTTGTTCTGTTCTGACTCCACCCCTTGAAAGACAGAGGCGTGGCCAATTCAGTAATCATGTTGCCCAATGCCGGCGTTGTGCATGCATGCGTCCGGGTACAGTATTGCACTCGCCGCAGGAAGCTTGGCTGAGAGGACGCCAAGGCTCGCTGGCTGCGGATGCAAGTGGTCGTCTTGCTTGAGGTCGCAAACTGGGGTGTCCAAGAGCGTTGCCTCAGGCTCATAGATGTCTGCAAGAAAAGCGCAAGACTAAAGCAAGTTCTTGCCGGACTATTTCTTTTGTTGTCAGCTGCCCTTGAACAGCGTTTGCAAGATCGTCAGCTCAAATGGTAGCAGCCTGCCCTTTGTACGCTTTTGGCCCACGTCGGCAAGGACGGATCGCTTTGCTCATTGGGCAGATGCTACCTGGAAGTTGGCGTGTGGAGCCTCGGTTTTGCCCCTGACCATCTCAGTGAACAGAGCGCCCTTAGGTTGCTTCCGAAACGGCAAAACGATGTTGACCTTAATGTGCTTTGGGGCGGACGCCTGCTCAGCATCAGTGATGTCAACCCCGGGACTTCAGTTCAATCGGTGAGCTTGCTAGCTGGAGCCTCTCTTGCTTTAGCAATCAATGGTTCCCAACACTCTGCGATATATCAATCTTAGCGCGCTGGCTTCAGTCCAAGAAATTGGACATCATTTGTTCTTTACGGGCACCTCCGAATTCCGCTCTCTCCGTTCCTCTGCTCAGTATTCTCTCCGCTCTTCTACAGGCTCTTCGCATTCCTTGCTCCGCTCTTCCTGCTCGTTGCTCCGCTCTGCCCACTCGGTCGTATCTCCACCCTCCGCGCCGCCGCGCCTCCTCTCGCTCCATTTTTCCTTCTTTCTGTTCCCCACTCTTCAAACTTATTCGCTCTGATTACACTCTGAGGCGCGTTTTACCCGTTGTTCCTTGACGCCGCTTTTCGCGCAGAGGATGCAGGGCTGTCCGGGTGCTTTGGCAGTTGATCCTTCTTCTCGTGAAGTTCTTCCCCTGTCAACCCCTTCGGACGCTGGCAGTGCATGATTTTGTGTGTGATTGCGCCTGCACGTGAAGCATGCATTGCACACACACACACACCCGCACCGGCGCACACACACACACAAACAAAGAAACAAACAATCAAACAATCAAACAATCAAACACACACACACACACAAACAAACGCGCACACACACACACACACTCTCTCACACACACGCGCGCGCACACACACACACGCACACATATGCCTGCACGTCCGCATGCACGCGCACACACTCACTCACAAACGACACGCAGACAGAGCGCAGACAAATTAATGCAGTAGGTGTGAGCATCAACAGATATCAAATCAAAGTCAATTGATGCTAAGTCTACCTTTGTGAAGTCACGTGTGTTTTCAGTTGTGTTATTTAATGCTAGGTCAGGTGTGTATGCGCACAAAATGTCAGGGAGAGAGAGAGAGAGAGAGAGAGAGCACTGCGGAAGTGTTTTGTTGCATGTCTCATTGAGGGCGACCAGTGCGCATCTCCAATTCTGCAGTTCTCGAACATATCCGATCCAGTTCAACAAACAGCTTGATCTACTTGAGGCTTGAGTTCGATACCTGACGCAAGTTCGCCTCCATTTGGGTTGGAAGAACATGTTAAAGCGTTGCTTGGATCCATGTCATCCAGTGAATCGATGTGATGCTGGTTCAGCCCAGGCACACAGGCTACGGCCAGCCCTGGGTCCGAGCCGCGATCTCAGTGAGAGAGGCTGGGACTCCGGACCAGTCACTGAGGCTGGGCTGCTTCCCTCCGTTCCAAAGCAAGGGCTGGAGGCATCGGATGGAGGGTTTGTGTTTACCTTTGAATGCTTCTGAGGCGTTCGGCGCGCCCGGGTGAGTTTGGGTGTTTGGGGTCTTGGCATGTATTGGCATTTCTTGGATCGAGGTTGTTGAGCATACATCGCAGTGTCAAGAGAGCACGCTTGATGCATGGCGCTGGGAGACATGCTAAAGCCCCAAGCGGAATGCACGGCGAGTAGGCCATCGATTTGGAGAACATGCAGGTGTTTTGCGATCCTGCCCTTCTACAAGGCAGGCCACCCCCTGCACTATGTGGTTGATCGCAGCACCTTGGCATGTGGCATGTCAAGAAGTTGGCCTTGGACATTGGAAGGGAATTAGGCGAGCCTTCAAGCGAGATCCCTTTGCTTCGCGTCCCTGGCCTTGCATGAAAGCGAATCTTGCTTGGACAAGAAGACGGAACCGCGTTCCAGTCATACTGCATGCCTCACGTGTAAGTTCTGCTGAACCATTTCGCGGTTACCAACTTGCAGGACAAACGCTGCGACTGAAAACAACTCTGATTGCGCAAATGTTTTCGAGAGGCAGGGCCCCCAGTTGAAACGGAAAAATCATTCTTGCACTACATGACACATTGTACTTCTGAGCTCTTGCTTCTTTTACTGCAAGGATTGACAAGGACTCCAGCCGAGGCAAATCGGATTGAGTCACGCGACAATGCTGATGAACCAGGGAAAGACTAAACCAGCGGGATATAGGACCAGAAACAACGGCAGTGCTTCTTTAACACCTCACCCCATATTCTGATGGGTCCAGGGCGTGGGAGCAAATGGCCCTCGCAATCAACCGGGCTTAGTTCCCACGTGGCTTTCAAGCGTCACTTGGTGGGCAAGCAACCACCGGACTGCCATCCGGGGAGATGCGCAAGTTTGAATGGTAAATAGGGTGATGATCTTAAGGCAGAGAACCCGGCCTCAAGGCAGAGAACTCAGCCTTAAGAGAGAGAACTTGGCCTTCACGCAGAGAACTCGGCCTTAAGGCAGAGAACTCGGCCTTAAGGCAGAGAACTCGGCCTTAAGGCAGAGAACTCGGCCTTAAGGCAGAGAACTCGGCCTTAAGGCAGAGAACTCGGCCTTAAGGCACAGAACTCGGCCTTAAGGCAGAGAACTCGGCCTTAAGGCAGAGAACTCGGCCTGAAGGCAGACAACTCGGCCTTAAGGCAGAGAACGCGGCCTCAAGGCACAGAACTCGGCCTTAAGGCAGAGAACTGGGCCTCAAGGCAGAGAACTCGGCCTTAAGGCAGAGAACTCGGCCTTAAGGCAGAGAGCTCGGCCTTAAGGCAGAGAACGCGGCCTTAAGGCACAGAACTCGGCCTTAAGGCAGAGAACTTGGCCTTAAGGCAGAGAACTCGGACTCGGCCCTAAGGCAGAGAACTCGGCCTTAAGGCAGAGAACTCGGCCTCAAGGCAGAGAACTCGGCCTTAAGGCAGAGAACTCGGCCTGAAGGCAGAGAACTCGGCCTTAAGGCAGAGAACTCGGCCTCAAGGCAGAGAACTCGGCCTTAAGGCAGAGAACTCGGCCTGAAGGCAGAGAACTCGGCCTTAAGGCAGAGAACTCGGCCTCAAGGCAGAGAACTCGGCCTTAAGGCAGAGAACTCGGCCTGAAGGCAGAGAACTCGGCCTTAAGGCAGAGAACTCGGCCTCAAGGCAGAGAACTCGGCCTTAAGGCAGAGAACTCGGCCTGAAGGCAGAGAACTCGGCCTTAAGGCAGAGAACTCGGCCTCAAGGCAGAGAACTCGGCCTTAAGGCAGAGAACTCGGCCTGAAGGCAGAGAACTCGGCCTTAAGGCAGAGAACTCGGCCTCAAGGCAGAGAACTCGGCCTTAAGGCAGAGAACTCGGCCTGAAGGCAGAGAACTCGGCCTTAAGGCAGAGAACTCGGCCTTAAGGCAGAGAACGCGGCCTTAAGGCAGAGAACTCGGCCTTGAGGCAGAGAACTCGGCCTTGAGGCAGAGAACTCGGCCTTAAGGCAGAGACCTCGGCCTTAAGGCAGAGAACGCGGCCTTAAGGCAGAGAACGCGGCCTTAAGGCAGAGAACTCGGCCTTAAGGCAGAGAACTCGGCCTTAAGGCAGAGAACTCGGCCTTAAGGCAGGGAACGCGGCCTTAAGGCAGACAACTCGGCCTTAAGGCAGAGAGCTCGGCCTTAAGGCAGAGAACGCGGGCTTGAGGCAGAGAGCACGTCCTTAAGGCAGAGAGCGCGGCCTTAAGGCAGAGAACGCGGCCTTAAGGCAGAGAACGCGGCCTTAAGGCAGAGAACTCGGCCTTAAGGCAGAGAACTCGGCCTTAAGGCAGAGACCTCGGCCTTAAGGCAGAGAACTCGGCCTCAAGGCAAAGAACTCGGCCTTAAGGCAGAGAACTCGGCCTTAAGGCAGAGAACGCGGCCTTAAGGCAGAGAACGCGGCCTTAAGGCAGAGAACTCGGCCTTGAGGCAGAGAACTCGGCCTTGAGGCAGAGAACTCGGCCTTAAGGCAGAGACCTCGGCCTTAAGGCAGAGAACGCGGCCTTAAGGCAGAGAACAAGGCAGAGAACTCGGCCTTAAGGCAGAGAACTCGGCCTTAAGGCAGAGAACGCGGCCTTAAGGCAGACAACTCGGCCTTAAGGCAGAGAACTCGGCCTTAAGGCAGAGAACTCGGCCTTAAGGCAGAGAACGCGCGGCCTTAAGGCAGAGAACGCGGCCTTAAGGCAGAGAACGCGGCCTCAAGGCACAGAACGCGGCCTTAAGGCAGAGAACGCGGCAGAGACCTTGGCCTTAAGGCAGAGAACGCGGCCTTAAGGCACAGACCTCGGCCTTAAGGCAGAGAACTCGGCCTTACGGCAGAGAACGCTGCCTCAAGGCAGAGAACTCGGACTTAAGGCAGAGAACTCGGCCTTAAGGCAGAGAACGCGGCCTTAAGGCAGAGAACGCGGCCTTAAGGCAGAGAACGCGGCCTTAAGGCAGAGAACTCGGCCTTAAGGCAGAGAACTCGGCCTTAAGGCAGAGAACTCGGCCTTAAGGCAGAGAACGCGGCCTTAAGGCAGACAACTCGGCCTTAAGGCACAGAACTCGGCCTTTCGGCAGAGAACTCCGCCTTAAGGCAGAGAACTCGGCCTTAAGGCAGAGAACGCGGCCTTAAGGCAGAGAACGCGGCCTCAAGGCACAGAACGCGGCCTTAAGGCAGAGAACGCGGCAGAGACCTTGGCCTTAAGGCAGAGAACGCGGCCTTAAGGCACAGACCTCGGCCTTAAGGCAGAGAACTCGGCCTTACGGCAGAGAACGCTGCCTCAAGGCAGAGAACTCGGACTTAAGGCAGAGAACTCGGCCTTAAGGCAGAGAACGCGGCCTTAAGGCAGAGAACGCGGCCTTAAGGCAGAGAACGCGGCCTTAAGGCAGAGAACTCGGCCTTAAGGCAGAGAATTCGGCCTTAAGGCAGAGAACTCGGCCTTAAGGCAGAGAAGTCGGCCTGAAGGCAGAGAACTCGGCCTTAAGGCAGAGAGCTCGGCCTCAAGGCAGAGAACTCGGCCTTAAGGCAGAGAACTCGGCCTTAAGGCAGAGAACTCGGCCTTAAGGCAGAGAACGCGGCCTTAAGGCAGAGACCTCGGCCTTAAGGCAGAGGCCGCGGCCTTAAGGCAGAGACCTTGGCCTTAAGGCAGAGACCTCGGCCTTAAGGCAGAGAACTCGGCCTTAAGGCAGAGAACTCGGCCTTCAGGCAGAGAACTCGGCCTTAAGGCAGAGAACGCGGCCTTAAGGCAGAGGAGAAAGCTGCCTCAAGGCAGAGCACTCGGCCTTAAGGCAGAGAACTCGGCCTTAAGGCAGAGAACTCGGCCTTAAGGCAGAGAACTTGGCCTTAAGGCAGAGAACTCGGACTCGGCCTGAAGACAGAGAACTCGGCCTCAAGGCAGAGAACTTGGCCTCAAGGCAGAGAACTTGGCCTTAAGGCAGAGAACTCGGCCTTAAGGCAGAGAACTCGGCCTTAAGGCAGAGAACTCGGCCGAAAGGCAGAGAACTCGGCCTGAAGGCAGAGACCTCGGCCTTAAGGCAGAGGCCGCGGCCTTAAGGCAGAGAACTTCGCCGTAAGGCAGAGACCTCGGCCTTAAGGCAGAGAACTCGGCCTTACGGCAGAGAACGCTGCCTCCAGGCAGAAAACTCGGCCTTAAGGCAGACAACTCGGCCTTAAGGCAGAGAACTCGGCCTTACGGCAGAGAACGCTGCCTCAAGGCAGAGAACTCTGCCTGAAGGCAGAGAACTCGGCCTGAAGGCAGAGAACTCGGCCTGAAGACAGAGAACTCGGCCTGAAGACAGAGAACTCGGCCTTAAGGCAGAGAACTCGGCCTTAAGGCAGAGAACGTCGGCTGTGAAATGTTGTGCACCAAAGACCACTTGTTTGCCAGGTATGCAGGTTCCTGAGCTGTCCTCAAGGCTCGGGTCATAGCAGTTCCCCACAGCGCGCGCACTCGGGGACCTTCAACGGGGAACAATCAGTTTCAGTTTGAACAATAAAGTTACCGATATGCATGTTATGAAATACCAGCCTTTATGGCTTGCCGGCGCACGTCAAAGTCAATGAGGTGCTGAATAGTCTGGACTTTCATTTCACTTTCCAGGTTCTGATCAGAGAACCTCCATGACTTGCGCGTAAAGACTGTTTTGCAGTTGCTTACTATGTTATACCATGCCATCATCGTCGTTGTCCAGCCAGGGCGATGGGCACAGCATTCTGCGACAGGAGTGTCGGCTACTCATTTCGCCAGAGGGGATGAGCAAGGGGCGCCCGAAAACTTTGATGGATGAGTTTGAGGCGACTATTGGACGGTATGTTCCAATACATACCAAAACGATTGCTTGATTGAATGGCGTCACGGCGTCGACGGGCTGAAGTACACAGTCATTGAAGCTTTCAATCAGCTCTGAACTCTGCCGAGGTTCGTCTACGGGACGGTCCTGGGACTTAGCCAACCTGCCAAATTCCAGAGATGTGGGAGACGGGATGTCATGTTACTTGTCTTTCTATGCCAAGGGTGCGTAGCTTGCACAAATCACCCGACCTGCTGAATGGTTCACTTCCGGCAAGCTCTGAGGGTAAAGCAAACCACTTGCAGATTGTGTTTCGTTGGAGTATGTTGATTCTGTTTGGGCGGATGTATTTTTTGAACCTGGTGCTGCGGAGAGAGGGAGAGAGAGAACTAGCATTGTCAAGGTTGTGCTGTGCGGGCGCTGCTGCAGCCGGATCCATTGGAGGAGACAGCTCAGGCAGCCCAGAACGGATGCAGCGTGCAGTCATTGGCATGGCATGCCTTGAGCCCATGCGAGCCAAACGAGTGCCAGCAAAAGCCCTCCCCCCTCCCCTCCCCCCCCCCCCCGGCGGAGAGGCAGTTTTGCAAGGTTCGAGGAACAAGGGGCAGTCGCAAGGATATATGCATTGCACGTCCGCGCGCACACGCACAGAGCCGTTTGCTTCCTTTGCTCCGCCCCGCCGGGCAGGTAGGCTGCGAAAACGAGAGGATGATGCCACCTGCAGGCCACTTTCAGAACATGATCATGCAAGCAGCAATATGTGGCCATATGTTGGGGCCATGCTAGAAATATGTGGCACAGAGCAGGAATCTTCCCCAAGCTTGCAAGCATGCCGTTTGGTGTCGTTTCTGTGAGCAGTCACTGACGCCAGCTGCTTCTGCAGAGAATCATATTATTGCCTCAGTTGCCCGTCCAAGTCATTTCGTATAGTTTCGTGTGGTCAGCAGCCGGCAGGTCTGAGGAGTTTCGAATTTGCGGAGAATAAGCAGCAGGAGCCGCGGGTTTTAGGCTTTCCGCTCCCGAATGGACTAGTGCCAAGGGCTCAGCTCAATCAACCGCCTTGCGCACGGAAACTGAGGCGCCAGCTTTTGGAGCCTTGCCATGTTGCGCGGACTGGGGCGTTCCGTGTGTTTGGCTCGGAGTGAAGACATGCCCGTGGAGACAGATCGATTCACTGGGACCCGACACCCGCATCAGGCCACAGGTACTCAAGCTGACACTTGCCAATTCGTAGGTGCCATGGAGCCATTGCGGCCATCCCACATGCCTCCACTTTCCGTGGGGACAGCCAAGGTCAAGGATGTGAGGCACGTAGAAGTGGAAGGGAAGGAGGTATCGGAGGTGAAGGAGGTGAAGGCTGCAAAGCCAGAAGTGGCAGAAGTGGCAGAAGCGGCAGTGGAGGAGCCAAAGCTGCCCGAAGAACCAAGCCCTTTCGAATGCACTCGTGGCACCTACGGAGTAGCGCAGCTGCAGAGCGTACCAGAGCAGAAAAGGAGCTTGGCGGACCTGGAGGAAACTCTACGCTCCCCAGATCAATTGCACTTTCTCCTTTCTCCCGTTGCTTCTTTTCTCTTCCTTTGTTCCCTTTTTAGGTGTTCATGCTTTGTGTGCCTTTATAATCTGGCTCCCTTTTTTTATGACCGACCAACATAGGCGATGTGCCACTTTCGATTTGCTCACCTGGTCCGTGAAAGTTGGTCAAAATGTTCAGTAGTCGGTCAACTTGAGCGAGATGGGCTGCCCAATGTTCTCACCGGCGTCCATTTGCTTAAGAGTATCTTAAAATTTGTCCCCTCTCAGTTTTGAAGGGAATCTATCTTTCTCATTGTTTCCAGGAACCGCGCGCAAACACGCAAATGGAAAGCGGGCCATCTGCCAATTCCATGGCGAGTTGTTCTGAGTTCCGAGGCACCAGCTCCGCGGTGGTCAAGGGCTCCAGCGGCCGCCGATGGATCCGCGGGGAGGCGGTCGGGCGAGGGTCCCTGGGCACCGTGTACCAGGCCATGGACCAGCAGACCGGAGAGCTCCTCGCGGTGAAGGAGGCGCAAATGCCTCCAAAACGCCGCCCAAACCCTCCATTTGCTTATGTTTTTCCCCTTTTGGTTTTAAAGGAAATCTATCACTACTGGATTTTTCCCATTTTTTTCAGGGGGCTTCAGCAAATGGAGAAAGCCAGCTTCCTTCGATTTGGATGGTTTCCAGTGCTGCGCCAAATCCAAGCGCCATGAACGAAATGGTTGTTGACATGGAACTTGGTTGTCCAAAGCCAGGCTGAATGGCAAGAAAGGATGCCGGAAGCAGGCCATTCCACGACGATTGAAAGTAGGCGAACTCCTTGTCAGGCTGCAAAGGAGCGCATGGCGAGTGTGTCAAAATCACCAGCAAACGCGCCTGCGCTTCCCGCGGTCCTCACGTGTTGGCCAAACCGAGGTGGGCATCAATCCCGCGGACTCCTCTGACCTGAAATTCAAGGAGCAGCTGGAGAACGAGATCCAAATAGTCAAGAACCTGAAGCATCCGCGGATCGTGGCGTATTTGGGCCATGACTACATGGAGGACTGCCTCTACATCTACTTGGAGTACATGGCCGGCGGCTCGTTGGCCCAGGCCCTGAGGCAATTCGGCTGCTTCGAGGAGTCTTTGACTTTGTCATACGGCCGCGAGATCTTGGAAGGCTTGGAATATCTCCATACCCGCGATCCCCCGGTGGTGCACCGAGATATCAAGGGAGCCAACGTGCTCGTGGATCTCGAGTGCCACGCGAAGCTTTCAGACTTTGGATGCTCCAAGCGAGCCAACGATACCATGTCCCACACCATGCGGGGCTCCATTCCCTGGATGGCTCCGGAAGTGATAAAGAACACCGGGTATGGCCGCAAGGCAGACATTTGGAGCTATGGCTGTGTGCTCGTTGAGATGGCCACCGGCAAGAGCCCCTGGGGATCCTTCGACAACCCCATGGCGGCCATGTGCAAAATCGCCATGTCACAGGAGACCCCTCCACTTCCGGAGGGAATGTCGGCTCCATGTCTGGATTTGATGAGCCAGTGTTTGCAGAGGGATCCGCTGGTCAGGCCAGATTCTTCCAAACTTCTGGCACATGAAGCGCTGCAAAATGTCGGCGTGGAGTTCTGAAGTCCTGAGATGGGGCCAAAGTCCCTCCCTATGTATTTCAGTTCAGTGTCACAGTCTTGGCAGTGGAGAGTTCTCCGCAAAGTGTGCAGAGCGCCGGGGGTCACTGGTGGCCAAATGGCCACAAGCTGGGGCAAAATGAGTTGAGCTTTGATCTGTGCGACCAAGGCCCAGTTTTGGACCTTCAGCATACAGTTGAAGGGGGCCCAAGGGAGGCGACATATTTGACTCAGCCCTATTGCAGGAGCCAGCATCGAGGGGCCCCGGGCTCAGTGGCTTATGGAAGGGCACCGGGACCTCCGCTCAGCAAGACTGGTTTCCAGTCCTGTGCGACGAATTACAGGATAGATGTGGAATAAAAGCATCAACATAGAACTCCAAATCAAGGCTTGAATGGAGTGTGCCGAGGAGTGGCTATGGTGCATGCCTTTGTACCTTCGGCACGGCCCTCGGCAATCGTTTGAGGCCCAAGGCGGGTTGCACAAGGCACGCGATTCCCTTGGAAGGTCAATAGTTAGTTGCAATTGCAGCTTTGGACATCAAGGGATCATTGCATTCGTTGCAGCCTTTCCGCAAACTGGTTGATCCGCAGCGATTTTGCGGAATGTGACACTTGGAATGAGCAAGGTGCTTCAAAAACCAGCCTTGCCGCAGCTTATTATTTGTGCCCAAGACCACTATGTGACAAGCAAGGTCGACTTGCAAACGATACCCGAGGGCCTACGAATTGGGGTCAAAAGAATGGTGATTGAAAGTTCACCAGGTGCATCCCCACATTTGACGGTCCAACTTGCGCCGAACCTTGCGGCGTGTCATGGAGCTCGTGGCCGCAAAGGAGGCGCAGATCCAGGCGCTAAGGCAGCAGCTGGCAGCCAAGGACGAATCCTCCCCCCCCTGGAACTTCGGGTGGACACGCTCCTCATTTCAACATGGAAGCCACCAAACCCCGTGTTGATCTCATTTTTGGGGGGACGAAAAAACCCTTTGTTGCTGGCCTCAAGGCTTTGCTTGAGGTTAATATTTGGAGGGCTCACATTTTTGCGAGCCCTGTCTGGATTGGTGTTCCGCACTTTGTTTGCATCGGCCCCAAGAAACCCTCGGAATAGGATGTAGCACACGAGATCCAAGTGGTTGCGGGGAGGTAAGCTGTCGAAACAACCCGTGACAGGTTGAGAAGACTCAACGTACATGAGAAATCCATGGGAAAGTGCGTGTTCATGTTCCGTGTGCCACCACACTTGTCATTGCGGAGTACTTGCACTGCCAGTCATGGGAAAACATCAGCATCTCAGGGTGACTAACCTCAGCCTGGCAGTTTGGCTCGTTGAATAGGAACCACTGCCTAATTTCCCCGGCGCGAGTGACCTCAAGGGAGAAAAGCCATGCAATGAGTTCCAAGGCGACCCGCCATGTGCACCCCCGGGATTCACTGGGCACCAGCACGGAAGTTGTTTTGCAGCTTCTGTTTGTTCTCCAAGCGCAGTGGGGAGTTACCCAGCCAACACATGAAGCAATCTGACAGGGGGGGGTTTTGGCAAAAAGTGTGCATTTCTAAGATGGTGTCCACTACTCCGAAAGCTAGACTTATACCCTGTATTTATAAGCGTTCTGCAGTGGGCGCATTGCGAGGATGCGGAGCTCAAGGCCAAAGATGCAGAGCTTCAAGCCAAGGACGCGGAGCTCACGGCCAAAGACGCAGAGAGCCTTGAGCATATGGCTTTGGATTGTCTGCCCGCCCAAAAAGACCATCGCCCTTGTTTGGACATGGTTGGAACATGTGCAGTGGTCGCATACAATCCCAACATCCACTGCCAGTGGCTTTTCCAACAGTTCGCGCCGTGTTTGAGCGTGCCCTTTGCTGGATCGTTTTGAAGCACCCACTCGAGCAAGATGGGTCCACTGTGTGAAGATGAAGCCAGTTTCCAGCCTTCACCCCTAGAGGGTGCCCCTTGCGTTTCGAAGGGGGTTGACAAGTGAGCAATTAGCTTTAGAAGAGAGAGCTACAATGCATTGCCATGGGTCTCCAAGGGAAAACCAGAAAATGTCACATGTCATCTTGACAAGTCCCATTCGCGCCAAGGATCGGAGCCCTGAAGAGGCGGATAGCGCCAGGCCTGACAACCCCAGCATCCACTCAGTCATTGGTGGTTCTATGTTTCCTTTCAGTTGGTGGATGTATCGGTATATCACGCTGTGTTGTTCTTGCCTCCCACATGCTTTTGGCCTCACCAACCAGCGCGCAGTACCTCTCCAGCCGCCTGCGTTTACACGCAGGCTCTAATTCCCTGCGCTGCTTTTTGCAGTTGAGAACTGATGTGCATTGGACACCGGTGTCATCTCTGCCAAAACTGCCGCGTGCTGCAAAATCCAGCGAGCCCTGTCTCGCGCATGCTGCAAAGGGGTTGTGCGCGTAGAATCTGATTTCACGCCAGTATGCATGTATCTTGCAGCTGCGGTTAAGCTTTAAAGTGCCAACCCTTGTGTAAGGCAGCGAGTCATACGAGTTCAGTGCAGCCAGTGTCCCGCCGGCAGTGTGAGGCATCCGCTTGTTTGTGGTGCTATACCATTGTTTCTGCAAAAGCGGCTGCCACCGCTGTTTTGTTGCTCGCTCACTGGCCAACCATGCCGCGATGTGGCACCGCAGGTCCTCACGCTTGCCTTGGCATGCTGACACTGTGTAGGCCACAAAACGGGGCATAGCCACGAGAAGCCCGAGGCTCTTCAGGTAGATTGGTTTCTGGGTTCTGGTTTTATCCGGCCCGCTTGCATCCGGTGCGATACATGTTCTTCTTTGCCTGCCAGCGTTCGCATCCAGGGGGTTTCCACCACAGCGCAAAGCGAACGCGTCTAGACATGCAAGCAGCGGAGACGTGGCGCACGCAAAGAGCAGCCTCTTGTGAACAATGGCGCCTCGGGCAAGTCAGCCAAATGACTAGCATGACGGGGGGCTACGAGACAGCACCTTACGCTCTCACATTAAGCATTTAGAAGGGAAATAACGCAAATCAAGGATGCGACACATTGGAATGCAACGAGTTCGAATTTGATCTCTGATTTTGTTGGGTGATACAGGCGCGCTTCCTCCCAGTCCCTAGGTCCCTAGGTTGTGAAAACGCACAACGGCAAGTTAGGATCAACCGATGTTGTCTCATTTGCCGCTACGGAAGGGCAGGCCAGTTTTGCCATGCTTGCAACCGAAAGAAGGGGAAGACAGCATGCTTGTACGCTGAAGATGTTGCTTGTTGCTGGGAGGTGGACCGCGGCTTTTACTTCAAAGATTGGTTCGGGGATGCACGTGGCGCGCATTGGCCTCGCACGGCAACATCCTGACCCAAGTCTTGGCATTTGTGTTTACGCCTTGCTTGTCCAAGCTTTGGACTCTGTCCCGCTCCGTGCACGTGGACTTGGAGAGGAGCTGGGGGAAAGCTCTGGATTTGAGTGCAGTGGGCAAGGCACCCTTATTCTTCCACAGCACCAAGGAGCTGCAGGACTTCTTAGCCCAGCCCAGGTGGAAGACCGCTCGGAGCTTGCGGCTGCCTCATTCCTGGTCCAACAATTGCATGCTGACCATCGCCTTGCTCCGGCAGATCAAGCAGCTGTTTCCGGAGCTGCAGGACTTTGACTTGCTGCCATACCAAGGCGGCAAATGGACCAAGGAATCCCGGCGCCGGGTCTTCTCGGAGAGCTTCGCAAGTTTGCAGAGCTTGAAGCTAGAGCTCTACTCCTACGAGGACTTGCCAATGCTGACGCACTTTCCTGTCCTGCGGAGCTTGCACATCAAGCCCCCTGGCAAAGGAATATATGAGGCACTGTCCAGCGCTCGCAAGGATGGCAACGCATTCGCGCCACGAGGTTGTGGTAAATTCTGGTGAACCGAGGCTTCCGCTCACCAGTGTGGGCACCAGGCTGGATGGATCAAGTACGCAATTGGGCCTTTGGTGGGTTGTTGGTGGGTCCAATGTTTGGAAGGGATGCCCATTGAGATGCTAATTACCTGCTTGCATCAAATCTGAGTAGCCTTAGAAATCTAGATGTCACGTGACATGACGGAGCATAAGCTTTATGCACACGAGGACAGAGTTCCGTTAGGGAAGAATGTTGCAGTCCACAGCAGGCTTCATTTCCTGGACAGGAAGGCTTGCCAAACCTGACAAGATGCCATGCGATGTTTGCATGAATTAGCTCGCGGGCGCCTCTTGGTTTGAACTGCCACATGCCACCAGCTTGCAGTTGGCCAGCCGAGGATAAGTGCCCAATTCGTAAACTCTGAACCGATCCGCACTCTTACCCATCCCCTCCACATTCGGCTATGTTTGCTCGGGGTTTCCTAGCCTCAGCCCATGGAGGTATACCACGTTTGCGCCAATAAAGAGCAAATACTCCCCCCCACCCACATGTTATCAAAAACAGTGTCACAAAAAGAATGTCCGCGGCTTTCGCACCAAAGGATTTTTGTTTTGGCCAGGTGCGAAGGCTTCCTGGGAGCCTTAGGCTCTCTGACCGCCTTGGAGGAGCTGCGCTTGCTTGGACGGAGGGACGGCCACAACCAGCGCCTCACTTGGGTTTCAAGGGTCCTTGGGCATTTTGACTCCGCCAATTCTGACCCCTAAAGCTCGAAGAACCTTTGCGGAGGGAATTTTTGGATCCTTGGTTGCTCCCTAGTTTTGATCAACGTCTGATGGCGTCTTGCTCCATCTAGTCCTTCCTTCGAATCCAACGGCAAATTTCGTCTGTGCAGGACGGCATACACTCACACATGTGTGTACCCATGATGCACCAGTTTTTTTTTCTGGCACTGATGCATGAACGGATTCTTTCCACCCGCAAGCTTGCACAACTCATGCATCTGTGCTCCGCCATGCTCTGGAGCATTGTATGGGCCAATGTGAGTGTTGCAGGCACTGAGTTGTTGTCCACTAGGCGAATGTTGTTGCATGGAAAGGTAAAGCAGCTGGCAAGAATAGGTCAGGATGTTATGTCAGAATGCACCTCGGGGCTGGCAGCATTCCGTGCGCCCAGCTTCGTATTTGTGTTTGAACATGTGCTGCTTCCCCTGCCAAACCGCCGCAAAAATGTTTGCCACATGAAACCGACCTGGCAGCGAAGGCAGTTCATCATTGGCGCCTTGAAAGCAATTGGAGGCAGCAGGTCCGCAGGTCATTGAATTTGCAAGGCAGGAATCCCCGAGCTGGGATGGAGTCAGCAAAGAGATGGGTTCGAGTGTTCTGGCATGTTTTTTGTGTCCGCAAGTGGCTGTCAAGTTTGCAGCATGGCATGCCTTTGTTGACGGGAAGAATGCAGTGGCTCACGCAGACTGACCGCGAAGCAATGAACGCACAGCAATTGCGGCAACATGGTGTTCATTGCTCGGAGTATATTTGCCTTTCGGACTATGACAGGACATGCTTGCTGAGGCGACCAGCGCAACGACTTAGCCAAGCTGCTGTGTGCTTGCCCTGGCTTACGAGTCCTTGAGGTTGTCCCCATGGTTGAGCTCCGATGGGAGTCCTTAATTCCGATGGCTGCACATAGTTCCTTGCAGAGCCTTGCGCTCTATGTCTCCCCGCGGCTACGACCGGACGATTTGAACACTCTAAGCCGATCACATAGCCTTAAGAGGCTGAGGATGGTTCGGCAACAACACTTGGATTCCTCAATGCCTCTTCTTCCGCTGCCTTTGTCAAACAGAACAGGGGCGCAGATCAAAGCGCAGCTAGATGTCATTTCTAATGAAGAGTTGTCCTAAGATTCTAGTTTAGGCCAGTGCGATTGCGCCACAGATGCGCGAACAGCCGCCGCGTGCAGGTGAAGGTCCAAAAAAAGCACTTGCGGCCTATGATAGCAAGTCAAGCCATCAAACTAGCTGGTTGTCAGACCAGTTCACTCATGTTGGCACTTGTTTGTTCACGGTCGCCGTCTTCAGTTAAAGCGCAAGCCAACGTTGCGAGGTCCTGTCAGCTGGCCTGGAGCTCAACATAATGGTGTGTGAAGCGGCTGGCTGGATATTTGGTCGGGTATTTAGGTTGTTTAATGGCTAATGGCTTTCTTGGTTTTTGGGCTGCGAGTTGAACACGGCATGTTACGACCTACAAAGTGTCATAGCAGAAGTTACGTTTTGTCAGTTGGAAAACAGCGCGAGGCCAATTGCCAATCATCACCGTGCAACTTTGCCCTTTCAAGTTGCTCGCCAGGCGATGCCGCTGCGGACGAAATGCAGTTCCGGCGAGCGATGACCAGAAAGGCTGCCGCATGCCATGCCAATGTGCAGCAAATGGGTACAAATGGTCAGCTGGCAAGGGCTAGAAAGAGCTGGAGATGGGGCCGCGCCAAGCCATGTGTTTTCGCACGTGAGCATCTCACCATCCATCTGAGGCCCAATGCCCCAGCAGCAACAATCAGACTTGATTTACAGCGAGAACACTGAGAGTAGGTGGGAACTGTGTCACGTACCTACCCTGAAACGTGGAGGCCGGTAGGCTAATTTGTTCGAAGGTGGTCTTTTGGAATCAGATCTGGCAAAAATGATGTGAGTCTCATGTTTGAAATGGACAATAATTTGATATCTTCTCTGATATGCACCCAGATGCTCCCAGACCAGCTTCCCCTTGCTGTTGGCAGCGCAAAGCTTGCATCGGCTTCGGATGCGGGTTTTCATGCATTCACACAGGGGACAGCTGGTCCAGTGGCCCCAAAAAGCAGGCTTTCTTCTTGACGCCTCTCGCGATGCAACGAACGGCTGGAATAGACACCGGTTCACTTTTTGACTTCTCAACTTACTTGTCTGCTTTTGTGATTGTAATCATATCCCAAGCTGTGTCCAGTTCTTCTTTGCTTTGCAGCGGAGGCACGTTGAGAGGGAGGCACGCGGAGGAACAGCAGAAAATCCAACAAAGTACTGAAGTTGAAACGTGTGGGCTTCGGTTCACTTCTGGACTTTCCGGCTTGCGCTACTTCACTCACAGTCAAGCAACGTTGAGAAGGAGGCACACCCCAACAGCAGAAGAGTAGACCAGCAAGTATAGACTCCGAGATTGTTTGCTACGTTCGGGCTTTTGTTTTTGTTCCTTTTCTTTCCACAAGTGCATGGCCCTAAGAGAGCCGCACATCTAAAAAAACAACATTAGCAAGTTGAGACTGGCCTTAGGCCTTGGGCGACAAGGCAGGTGAATTTGCGAATCGGGCAGGTGCGAGCGCGGTCTGAGGGCACTCGGCCCAAGCAAGCCAGAGAGCCGACTGAGGCTGGGCCGATGCAGTCTGAAGCACAGAGCCACCAGGCAGAATGCATGCTGAGGTACGGAATGCGCGCACGCTTTTGCAGGTTCCAGGCTTAACTCCTGGACACGCTGCATGGTGCATGCCATAAAAAGAGCCAGAGCAGTCATGTGTCAGGAGCTTGCCGCTTGCCTTTAGCTTGATAATCAGGATTGGTTGGTTTGTTGGTTGGCTGGCTGGCTGGCTGGCTGGCCGGCTTGCCAGTTGGCTGGTGGGTCGGTGGCGCACGAGTTGTTAAAGTGGTTGCTTGGTCAGTTGGGGGCCTTGCCCCCTGTACTTGAACCTGTGGGGGACTGCTCCTGAGCCCCACTTGCCCTCTTCACTCAGCAAGAGGGGAGCACTCCACTTGACCTTCCGAGGAGTCAGAAGCAGTCACACCACGTCGCGCCAAGAAGGCAGTAGTGCGGAGCGAGGACACCTCTCAGATATGTCCCTTTTTGCTGCACCGTGTTTTGCTGTCTTGTAACGAGCAATGGCGAGCACTCTGTGGTATGCAGCACAGGAGGCTGTGATCATTCCTGCTTCGCACAGGTGCACTGCCTTTCATCAAGTGTGTTGTTCAGCTGCTGTGAAAAGATGCTATCAAACTGTCGTGCACGACGGCCCGTAAGGTTCGAGGAGCTCGCCTGTGGCAATAGTCGCCCTCTAAGAGCAGCGCATTCACCTCAGAGTTTTGGCTGCGAGATATTTGCCGCGACCTGCTCCCGCCTGTCAGGTCCGCCCAACCGGGACGTTCCTCGTATGCATTGCGGTGAAACAAGTCTGCCTGCGTCACAGCAAGGTATCTTAGCACTAAGGACGAAACCCCATCACCTGGGATGATGGTCTTCAGGACTCGGAAAGACCGCGGCGTTGCTTCAAGATGGTAGGCACCCACCAGGAACAAAAACGGTTGCAGAGGCCGTCTCATTTTTCAAGCACGGCTGATCAAGATGTAGGGATTGCATAGTCTGGTGGGAACGTGACTAGGAAAGACTGCTTGGCCAACCAAAATCCATCTCCTTGGCCCCTCGTTTGCTCGGAAACAGCAGCCAAAGGAGCAGTCCACACCGCGGCAGAAGGCGGCGCTCGCTCGGAGGCGGGAAGTGTCATTGGTACCCCTCCACCAAACATGTTGCCGAGTCTCAAAATTACCTTGTGGGACGATGTCCCTTTAAACCGCCAATTTAGAGGATATGTTTTGGGATGTCACTTTAATGGGCCCAGTATCTTGGTGGCTTAGTTTTTGTCAAGGTATCGCTCGAATTGGTTGGCCTCTAGTATGCATATCAGTCGATCTAAGTTGTGCCTTGTTTTTTCTTGCCCGCCCCCTAGCCTACGTCATGTCAGGACTTGGGATGGGCAGGACGTCAGCATCCTCTTAAACCATGAGCAGGTGGCAGCTGAGGCTCGGGAAAACTCAGACTACATGCAGCCCTTGTAAGGATGGGTGAGTTCATGCGACCTACTTGCGCCGAGGAGGGTGAACATCGCCTACAGCGCTTACAGGTGTCGACCCTCAAGTCGTTCGCAAGTTGAAATTGCAGAGGTCCGAGAGTCAACGTCAGGCAGATGCCGCCTTCGCAGAACTTTGCACGCCAAGAGCTGGCCATGACAGAATGGTTTTGATTTGTTGGCTGAGGGCATGTGCATGCTTGCGTCCTGGGGCTTGATGTGCAACCAAAGCCTGTCCAGAGGAGCGAGCAAGGAGTTCGCTATCTATGGCAAATGCACTGCAGTGCACACCTCAGCTTGCAGCTCACGCAAAATGCATGCCTGGGCTAAAAGCACGCACCGTGTCAGGTTTGTAGACCTAGAGCTTTTTAACGTTTGTACGAGTTGCCAAATGCACTAGGGCATGCATTGGTTTTCCTAACTTTCCTGTGCCGGCTTTGCCCAAGGTGGGACTCGTGATCAGTCTCAAAGCTAGACTTGTGAAATTGGTGACGGTGATTTACATCCGCCTTAAAGGCTGCGGAATCACCCGAACCCTAGATGTCCAATCAAGGGCGAAATGCAAAAGCGAAGAACAGCTTTGCCATCATTAGTTGCTTAACAAATGGCGGCGGGTCTTGCCTCTCCGCGAAAAAGGCTTGATAAGAATTCAGTGCGAAGCTAAGCGCATTTGTCGGTGTATATGTGTGTTCATGATGGCTGTTGGCAATTGGGTGCGAAGTGGTGCCGTCGTGTGATGTAGTTGTTTTGCTCTGAGTTGCTTGCGAGAAACATGCTTGAGTAAGATTGAGCAGAAGAAAATCACATATTTTTGGTGATAAGGAATTTCGAATATTTTCATAAAATGACTGAATTACCATTATATAACACTTTATGAAGGAAATGTAGAAATGTTGGTGTAATGGATATTATATAATGGAAAGCCAATTTTGCATATGAGTGAAGAATGAATATGTACGAGAAAATATGTGTGTGTATATGGTGGGGCAACAGAATTGATGAAAGTATTGATTTTTGTATGTGTTTGGTTTTGGTAATATTGGTATGGGTTTGATGTAAAACCGATTAATCTAGATGTGTAGAGTAATGTATACAATTTTTGAGGTAGATAAAATATGTTTGTAAGGTAAAGCATAATTTTGAAGGAATTGAAATGAAAAATTAAATTAGAAAAAGAGATTTTGAAAAGAAAGAGGCTTTTGTAACGAAATATAGGGAGAAGATGATCGAATTAAAAAAAAAAATGAAATGAATGAAGATAATGAATTGAAATGATGAAAATTTAAAAATATAAAACATGAAATGAAAATTATATTTTTTGAAATGGTATTTAAATAATATGAACATTTATAGTGTTTAATATTAAATTATATAATATTTAAATAATAAAAAATATTTAATTGAAAACGAAAAATTATTAAATTGATATTAGATATATATAAAAAATAAAACATAATATTTATTAAATAAAATATTAAAAATTATTTATGATATATTGTATTGTATATCTTACTTTCTATCTTATGCAAAATGTATGTTTGGGCCAAAAGTACGCATTGTGTTAGGTCTATAGATTTAGAATTGTTTTATACGAGTTGCTAAATGCATTAGGATATGTATTGGATTTCTTATTTTTCTTGTGCTGACTTTGCTTAAGGTGGGACTTATGATCAATCTCAAAGCTAGACTTATAAAATTGGTGATGGTGATTTATATCCGCTTTAAAGGCTACGAAATTATCCGAATCCTAAATATCTAATTAAGGATGAAATATAAAAATGAAGAATAATTTTGTCATTATTAGTTGCTTAATAAATGGTGGTGGGTCTTGTCTCTCCACGAAAAAAAAAAGAATACAAAAAGAGGAAGAATAAAATGCGAAGCTAAGCGCATTTGTTGGTGTATGTATATGTTCATGATGGTTGTTGGCAATTGGGTGCGAAGTGGTGCCGTCGTATGATGTAGTTGATTTATTCTAAATTGTATATAATAAGGAAATTGAAATTTATATAAATTAATTGGGTTAATAAATTATATAAATACATTTTTTTTTTTTTTTTTTTTTTTTTCATATTTGTAGTTTTATAAAAGAATATGTTAAATCATAATATGTATTTCTAATATATAAATATATATATATTATAATAATACCTATAAATGATTTAAATAATTTAGATTGTATATTAGTATTATTAATTTAATGAATTTATATATATATATATTTAATATTATATAATTTGAACACCAATCAAATTTATATAATAGAAATATATTGGTTTTATTAATTATAAATAAAAAAAGAAAAGATACCAATTTCATTTTTGTTTATATTATTTTTATATTTCAATTCATTATTTTTTATGTAAAATATTTTATATATCTATGATAATCGATATTGTATCAATTCCATATTAATATTTCAAATTCAAAAATATATAAAACAAATAATCAATATTTTCATAAATTCAATTCCCCGGTCATATACACACGCATATGCTCTCGCATATATGATTTCTTCATTTATATG